CTACAGAGAAACCCTGTTTCAACATCCCTCCCTCCCAAAGTATAGATGCGGTTTCTGAAGAGCTGAAGGCCAAGCCAGAAATGTGTGCCATACAGAGGGGCCTCAGCTGGTAGGCAAGGCCATGGCAGGCAGTCCTGTCAGCCTTGGCATCTGAAGGCAGCTCCCAGGCATGGAGAGGGGGTCAGTGGTTCAGACCCACGGAAACTGCCCTGCGATCAGCTGCTCTATTCAGTCCAATAACGGTGGCCGAGCCTCCTGCTTCTGACGGGCTAGTGACCCTGGCGCAAATAAGGCAGGGAAAACAGTCCTAACTTATGTGCAGGCCAGGGCAATGAACTGGAGCTTTAAGTACGTTGATGTTACAGAACATTTAAAGCAGTGGTTCTCAACCTGGGGGTCATGGCCCTTGGCTCGCATAGCTGATATCCTGTATTGTCAGATATTTGTATTACAGTCCATAACAATGGTCAAATTGTAGCTATGAAGTAGCAATGCAATGGCTTTATGGGTGGGGGTCACTACAACATGAGGAACTGTATTAAATGATCACAGCGATAGCAAGGTTGAGCGCCTCCGATTAGAGGGAACGTCGGAAACTTCCTAGAGGTTGTGAGCCATGCGCAGTGAGTGTCTAGTCGCGGCAGGTGTTTACATGGGGCTCCCCATCTGCGTCCAGTGCTCTGCTTGGGTTCTGACCCTCCTCCAAGATAAACAGAACTTTGTGGATGGAGGACAGGAACTTAGCACAAGGAGCCTGGACTCCACAGATGAGCCAAGCAGTTCCCAGCAGCAGCTGTTAACTTCCCACCATAAACCCTCAGGAGTTTGATACTTCATGTACACTGTTCTCTCCAAGAACCTCCAGGCCTGTGGGCTTCCAGGGGCCTTCTAAGCCCACACCTTAGATCACAGTGCAAACCAATCTGGACATCAGACATCAGAGGGCTGAGATAGCTACATTGTAATAAAAACCAAATACCTTAAAAACTGTGGGAGTGGTGGTGTACACCTGAGTGTGTGTGTGTGTGTGTGTGTGTGTGTGTGTGTGTGAGTGCGTGCACGTGCATGTGTGTGAGAGAGCGGGGGTATGCCAAGGCAGAAATTGGCTAAATTCAAGTGCAGTTTATACTATGTACTGAGGCCCTGTCTCAAACAAACAAAACACCCACCCTGAAAACTGAGTTTGTAAACTCAGAGCCACCTGGAAAATGAGAAAGCTATGGCACATTCTGGCTTAGACTTCGCTGCAGTAATCGGTGCTGTTAGCGTTCTATCAGGAAGCCTTTCTTCGCTGAACAAGAGAAAAGACAGAATCACTGGAAGCAAGCCGGGGATGTATCTAGAGGCAGAGTATTTGCCTACAAAGAGTGGCCCTGGCTCGATCCTTGGCACCATATTGTTAAAAATCAGTAAAAAGTCAAACTGGCAAGCAGTAGAAAGCTATAGAAGGTTCCTTTAAAGCAGAATCTTATTCTGTTTTTTTTTCTTTCCTTTTTTGGTTTTTCAAGACAGGGTTTCTCTGTAGCTTTGGAGCCTGTCCTGGAACTAGCTCTTGTAGACCAGGCTGGCCTCGAACTCATTGAGAACCGCCTGCCTCTGCCTCCTGAGTGCTGGGATTAAAGGTGTGCGCCACCACTACCAAGCCAGAATCTTATTCTTATTACTGTGCATGTGTGCAGGTAACCACAGAAGCCAGAAGAAGGTGCTGGATACCTCAGAGCTGGAGGTCCCAGCACTCATGAGAAGCTTTATGTGGGCTCTGCTCACCTGGAAGGCTGGCTCCTACTCCAACCACTACAGCCTGAAACAGCTCTTTTTCTTAACCTCGGAACACACATTCTTCATACCTTAAGACCAGAAAAATAGTACTTCTGAGTGGTCTGGGATCCTTAGTTGCCAATAACAATGGAATAAAAATGGTCATTTTGGATTTGTATTTTACCTTCTCTACTTCTGAAAAAAATCAGGATTCTATTCTTCTCTAACCATTATATTCCCCGGGAGGACTTACCTAAATACCAGACAAATCTCTGCCAGAAAACACTAAACATACAAAAAATAAAATCTTACCCATGAGCACCCAGTCTTGACTTCTGACTTCCAGCTGCGACACACGCTGCTGTTAGGCTCCCACTGTTGAAGGGACATCAGGCCATAGCCTATAGCTTGTGCTTCAGAGCCCCAGCCCCAGGCTGGCCATTTGTCTGGCTACGTTCCTCACGTTCCAGGCAGGACCTACTTACCAATGATTTAATTACATGGTTTATGCTGGCCAGACATTTAAATGCATTGATCCGATAATCTTCTCCCTCTGTTTCCATTCCAAGAGAGTTAATCATAAACTCTCAAGTGGAAGGACACAATACCAAAGCAAAAATTTTATCTATTTTCTCTATCAATAACGAAATAGCTCAGAATAATTTACTAATAACAGGGAAATATGTATTAATATTAGGAATTCAAGTCATGAATAATTCTGTATCACCACAAGATGGAGTAAGAGTTCAGTACACACACACACACACACACCACACACTCCCATATCATAAGTCTACAGCGCTGACTTACTCTATTCTGCCATCTAGTGGTTATACAATTGGGCATTTTTCCACTGAATCTGTCTTCCCACGCAAGAATAGACACAAGGAATTAGTTGAGGGAAAAGACTGAACACATAAAGGAACGTGGTAACATCACAGCATAACAGCAAGATGCTAAGAAAATGCCAGGCTGGAGTTTCAGCTGTCAAAACAAGTTCAGAAAAATCAAAATAGACTCTACACCAGACATGACCCCACTGACCGTCCCAGTACTTTGAGGAGGAAGGTCAGGATTTCAAGGTCATCTTTAGCTACACAACTTGCTGGGATGACAGGCTGGGGCCTCCTGCTTATCTCAGGGAAGGGAAAGGATAAAAAGGATAAAAGCAATTTGAATTGTGGTTCTGATCACTTAGATTTATAACCAGTTTATAGTATTTTCTTTTCATCGAGCGCCAATGCCTTTAAATTAAGGGGACATAATTTTAACTTTCATCAAAAAATGCGCTCCTTGGTAAGTAAGATGTCGGATAAATTAATCAAGAAAGATAATCATTCCCTTAAGAGAAAGAAAAGAACATGATCAAAAAATCTACAAATAACAGAATCCATAGGCAATGCAACTTCTCACTCAGACTTCTGCAAGGTGTCCTCTGACCTCTGCATGTTACTGTGGCATGTTTCCCCCAAATCATAAAATGTCTTAATCAACAATCCATTTTTTCCTTAGTTTAATGGGGAGAAAAACGTGTTAGTAATGCTTACAAAGACAGAAGGAATAACACCACTTTTGGGTTTTGCTTTTTTAAAAAGGTGTTTTATTTTCTTTTTGAGCGTTTCTGAACTTCTCAAAGTACATGTATACACAAAATAATATCATAAAATACACATTACAAACTGACCACACGTTTACAGATAATACATCATTTCCTGAACAAACTTACTGGCTCAGAACCGCCCCCTGAAGAACAGAACAACACCCTCTTAAATCTACGAGAGCACAGCTTGGTTTGTGCCCTCCCTACAGCACAGGTGAGTAAAAAAATCTCTGAATGCTCACGGTTGCTTTCTAAGGTTGCCTTTGCGGTAAACACAAATCCATGTTATTATTTATACACGACAACCTAATGAGAAGGCATTTATGAATCAACACTCCTGTCCTTTCTTTTTCATTTCTCTCCCACCCTTCTCTTTCTTCCTTTTTTTTCTGTTAGGGGCGCAGTCCAGGCCTCACAGTGCTGGCAGGCATTCGATCCCAGCTACATCACCACCTCTGCGTACCGTAGATTTCTTTACCCCAGTGGTGGGGATTGAACTCAGGACCGTGTAAATGCTTGGTAAGAGCCACTAAGTCACAGCCCCAGAAGTATGTTAATATGTAACTTATGAGAACAAGATAAGATATCCAGTCTGCTGAAAAAGAAATACTAAATGTAGTGCATTGAAACCAGCTGTTTCTGCGTGTGCAATACAGTCCTCGTGAATCACACTGTGTTCAGCACAAACAGGCCTGAGAACTTCGCAGCTGGAACGTCATTAATAAAACATGATGACAATTGATGCTGGTGGAACTTGAATTCTACAGCTTTAAAAATACAGCATAAATAAAATTTAAAAATCAATTCAAATATTTCAAAATAATTTATTTTTTAAATTCCACAAAATAAAACTATTATTTACATCGGTTGCAATAGCACTAAGAATTAGAAATAAATTTGTTTCAACTCTTGAAAACAATTATGAGCATAAGACAAAATTTAAAAAAAAAAAAAGAAAATTAAATGCTAAATGCTTCTTTTAGGTGAATGGTCATGAGACTGCTGACATGCCCACTGGCAGATAGAAACAGCAGACACCTTCAAAACAAATTAATTTATTTACACAAGCATTCCAACAGAGCCCAGTTGTTTTCAGTTACATGTGCAAGATTTGGTGGAATCACAAAAGTCAAACTGTCTGAATCTACATACCCAATTTATGCCAATTCAGAGAGCTCCACATCAACACAGCGCTGCGAAATCAGCCACATCTCAAAGCCCACAGGCCTCACGACAATTACAGTCAGCTGTGCGTTGTTTTGTTTAAAAAAATCCTTCAAACTATGTATATACAGAAAAATATGTATCTTTCATATCCATTTCTAAACTTAAAACCTATACACAAAATCCTTCCTTTTGATACGTTCAGATCTGGACCGACAGTGATGATTTGACCCTAGAGTTCCATAGAAGAGACGAACACAGCGCACCGGATCTTCTGTGGGAGGAGGGGCTGGACTGTCAGCGGGTCCTTGTGCGTGCCTGTAAATGTACTAACGGAATTTTGTAAACAATGGCCTTCGAGAAGACCGGAGGCCACGGTGCAGGACCACAGGACCTCCTAAGGTCAATCAGACCTTGTTTGTGGCATTCATCTTGCCAGAAAAACAGACAACCATTTTTCTTCCTTTTTGTTTTCTGATTATCACAATTAGACATCAGGAGATGCTAATGCTGATTTCAAGGACACGCGGCTTTTGCGTGAGGTCTACTTCCCCCACGGAGGCCAGGCGGAGGCAGCGCCGTCACGGTGAGTTGTCCCTGGGAGCCAGAGGTTTCTCCTGCAGGTCGCCGCTAGACGCAGGCTGAGCCGCAGGTGGTGGCGGTGTGGCGGAGAGCGGAAGTCTGTGGCGATTACTCTCCTCCCCAGGAGTAGATGAATGTCTTTTTCTTCCAAATTCCTCACTAATGGAGGGCTGCAAAGCAGGAAAGACAAGAGAGTAGACCACTTTCACTGCCCCCCGCAGAGTCTAAGGCCAGGCTTTCCAACCGGGGCTCCCATGCTGCTTTGCAGCACATAATGAATTCTCACTGCAACTCCAGGGTTAAATTGACGTTTCCTTGGCAGGCTGGGATTAGCTGTTCAGTCTACGTAAACTTGAGACGCTTTCCTCACGTTTGGGGGAATAAGCACAGAGGGGGTCCCTCCCTCCAGGAAAACACTCGGCTGCGTTGCAGTTCTAGCTCCTTCCTCACCCTGAGCTCCTGTTCTGGACGCTCCGGTGTCTAATGGTTAACAGCTGAATGGGACCAGAAAGCGGAGAAAGGTGCCAAGGCAAACAGCCTCACGCCAGCTTGACATTTCACCCAGGATCCCCGTGCTAGAGGACTAAACCAATTGTATTATTGAGGATACTAAATCCAAACACCTTCAAACCCTTTAGACTGCAAGCAGTACTCTGTGCTGCGGGGTCTTTCTCCAGCTACAGATCCACCTGTATGAATACCATTAGGCTAATACTGTTGAATCTGAAAAACAAAACTGTCATCTTTTTCTGCCTTCTGTTGTACTTAGAACTGAGCGTCTACACTTGTGGCTTACACTGAGGCAGGAGTGACGTCTTTTCTACTTTTCAGCCCCACCACCCCATCCCATTCCCTCCTTTGCAGTTATTTTCTTGGTTTAACCTTTTTTTCCCCCCCCATTTGAAATCAAACCAATTAAAGCACCCACCAATTAACAGTCTTGCATTAATTTGCCAGGGATCTATCTGGTCCAGAGCTCCAAGCACACTAGGATCAACCCTTACACGAATTTTATTATGAAGAAACTATAAATGCATATCAGCACACGTTATAAAAATTATATGGACAAAAGCACATTACAAAATAGAAAGTTTCTGCCAGGGAGTGATGGCCCACACCTTTAGTCCCAGCACTCAGGAGGCAGAGACAGGTGGTTCCTGAGCTCGAGGGTTGCCTGATTGACAGAGGAAGTCCCAGAACAGCCAGGGCTACACAGGGAAACCCCCATCTGGAACACTCCCCAACCCTACCAAAGGTAGAAAGTTGGGGCTAGTGAGATGACTCAGCAGTTAAGAGCACTGGCTGTTCTGACAGAGGATCAGAGTTGAGATTCCCAGCAGCCATATTAGGTGGCTCACAGAATCTTGTAACTCCAGCTCTAGGGGATCCAAAGCTCTCTCCTGGTTCTGTGGATTATCTCCATACATGTAGAAAAACCAGGGAAATCGCCTTGGTTAGGAGCCATCTAAGTATGGTTGCACATCCAAATTCAAATGCACGACCACTGTACCATTATGTAAGATGTTTGCATTTGGAAAATTGTGTGTGTGTGTGTGTGTGTGTGTGTGTGCGCGCGCGCGCTCATTAGTGCCCATGTGTCTGTGTGCATGTGGGGAGCAGAAGTTGATGTCGGACACATTCCTCTGTCATTCTCCACCCTATTTTTGGAGACAGGGTTTCTCACTAACCCCCTGTCAGGGTTACATGCACACTCCACGTCTTCAGCTTTCACATGGATGCTGGGGAATCTGACGCAGGATTAGCAAGTACTTCACCAACTGAGCCATCTCCCCAGCCATTTCCCAACTATGGGAAATATAAATGAAGAAAACAATGATTTTTTTAAAAAAAAATCTATTTTTGTACCTACTTTCAAAGTTTGATGTCAAAAGTGAAAAGTTAAATTTTTAAAATTAAAACCAAAAGATTTAAGATCAAGATTATAAAAATTTGTTAAGTTATAAAGCTGATAAAAACAATAGGGGAAAGAAATTAAAACTTACATCAACACGGAAGTCTTCTAACTTCTGAAAACTACAGAGGTATTCCTGAAGTTTTGGGTCGACAGACTGTGTCTTAGATTGAGAATACTTCAAATAGGCCCAAAATTTTTCCAGTCCATATAGCTGCCCTTAAAAACCAAAGAATATATGTTACACGGAACTAACAACTATGATCCCACCAGTAGTACAGCACTTACAGTCCACTAAGACACACAATGAATCAGCAAAGGTGGCAGCTAATGGTCACTGATCATTTGTTATATAACAGGCACAATTTAAGTTTTTATCGCAGATCGAATTAATCTGATCCCCACGTAACCGGAATGGTGAGATGGTTCCTTATCTCTACATTACAGATGGGAACGTGGGAGCTGGCAAGGTGGAAGAGCTAGCCTAAGTCACATGGCTACTAAGCAAGGGGAAGGGACTCAGAGCCTACACTCTGCACAGCAGAATTTTGCCTTGACAAGCACACCTAGCTATGCTCCTGAGAAGGAACACCAGTGAGCAGCCATTTAGCAAGAAGTTAATGTTGACATACAACTCCATAAGATAGAGAATCTCACAGGCTGGGTAGTGATACACACCTTGAGTCCCAGCACTCAGGAGGCAGAGGCAGGAGGATCTCTGTGAGTTTGGTCTACAGAGCAAGTTCCAGGACAGCCAGAGCTGCTGCACAGAGAAACCCTGTCTCAAGAGAAGAAAAAAAAAAATCTCGCAGAAGGAGCCATCTTACTATATGGTGTCATGGTGTCGCACCTTTACCAAGAACTGTAACAGTGGGCAGGGTCTTAAGTGATTTGTCCTGAAGACAAAAATCTTCACATTCTTTTCTAAAACTGTGTGTGTGTGTGTGTGTGTGTGTGTGTGTGTGTGTGTGTGTGTGT